AAGATACAAAATATCTAGCCTACTAAAATAAAAAACTAAAAGTAAGAATGTCAACTATATTCAACAATTATCTATTCAAAAGAGAAATAAAGAAAAATTTAAACAAACGCAATTAATGAGTGTAAAAACTTTAACTATTTTGAGTACCTCTGAACAATAGTGACTACTCTAGGAAAAATTAAACAGCTTTTTGCTATGCATGATTTGTATAAAAGTTGAAGTTAACACTATTACAATCATCCGCAGTAAGGCCATTTGTAATGTTTACACTCTTAAGTCCATAGCATTCTGAGAATCTAAACGAACCTGCCATCTTTCTTCATATGGGGGTTATATCATCTCGAATAACAACATGCAATTGCACACGAAGATAGAGCTCTCACATTGTACATAAGACCTTCAAAAGATGTCCATGGAAGTTTTATGGCTATTATAACTAAGTAATTGATATGAATAGAAATATGACTAGTGGAGAAATCATGTAATTCTTCAAGCTTTTTTATGATATTATTTTTCAAATCTTGTAGAACTTCATATTTGAATCGACAAGAAGAAAGTTTTGCATGAATCTCTAATATAACAACATAGAAAAATTAAAAGATTAAAATATTTTCTCAACCAATCGTGTCTCTCTCCATGTCAACCACCTTAATATTGTCTTAAAAAGGAAAACAATCATGCAATATTTTGAAGATCTTTTGTACAAAGTGGAGGCTCTATCATAGTATCTAATGTCATCTTGGTTTTTTTTATTATGAAGCTTTCGTTATTTTCTCTCTCGTGGCGAAATGGTTGGATTTAGGTGATGCAGGTATCTTTTTCATAAACGAATGATTCATTAATGATGAAGTGGTAAGGGAGGATGTGATGAAGGAATCTGTGATGGATGAAGTTTGATTTGTTCATTTAAGTTCAGACATTCATCAAGAAAAGAAGTCTCAACATTTTATGTTGGCTGATGAACACGTTCTTGAACTACAAAAAAGAAATTTAATTTTAAATTCATAGAATAAATTATTCGTTTCACCACATCATGCAATAATCTATTTGAAAACTTTATAACCTGCTGTAAAAATGATTGAATGACATTCAACAGGACTGTAGATAACCAGCTGAAGCAAAACAAATAGCTGGAGCTAAAACAGAAGCTGAAGTTGCTGGTGGTTAAAATCAGTTAGAAGTGATGAGCTGGAATAAGTAGTTGAAAGAATTAGTTAACAGTAAGCTTTTCAGTTAGTTAGTTAAAATTGTAGTTGGCAAACTCATGTCTATAAATAAGAATCAATGTACGAATGTCTTAATTCAATTGAATACAGATTTCAATAGAGAAAAAGAGAGTCCAATGCTCTCTGTAATTCGTTCTTCTTTTCCTTCTTCATTTTTATATTTCTTTGGTTCGTTTTGACATGGTATCAGTGTTGAGAATTTACTTAATCATGCACAGCGGAAATAAAACAATTTTCAATTTCTACCAATGATCTGTAATGTGTTTAGATAGAAACTGTGATGAAAATAATACCTTTGATAAATTCTGCAAACTCCTTTGCTGATTCTCGAACTCCAATGATCACGATTTGCAATCCAAGCTATCCAATTGTCTAGCCTTCAATGGTGATCCACGAGAGAACAAGAATGACGGCTAGGGTTTTCTTTCCTTGTGCTAGCAAGAATAATGAAAATTACATCCAGTTTACAAACCTTAGCCTAGCGGCCTATTAATATAAGCTCAAGTGGGCTTGGCCCATCTCTAAACTTTACCCGGTCCGATATTTAATTAATCAAATTAATTAAATCAAGTCCATGAATTAATTGATCCAATTAATTAATTCGGGTCTAT